CGCATTGGCCGATTTCGCTGATTCCGATGTCCCCCGAATATACTCAATTGGCGTTCCATCTAATTTCAGACCGATCGAATTAACCGCCGATGCTGTTCCGTCTAGGTAAATTTAAGTAAACAATAACGAAACTATAAAACTCGTGCCGATTCGATGAAAAATATGCTCGACCCAGGAAGCTAATGTCAATTTCAAATGAAAATACATTTTGTTCATTATATACCCCCATATAATTTGCCAAAATAATTTTCAATGAAACCTAACTAATTTGCAAAAATCGATTCTACTAAATCTTAAATTAAATCTATACAATTTTGTGCGACCTTCGTAATTACAACTATAAGTTCGCATTGCTACATTAATGCGATCGAGTTCCCGGTGCATCCGATTTCTCTTTCGAATTTTCTACGCTTCCGTGGTAAACGTTGTCGAGCCGTTCCGAGCTCTACCGATCGAAACGAAATCGAGCCGTCCCGAAGACGCGCTTCGGAATCCTTCGCGGTGTCCCGCGTCGTGCTTGGGCTCATTGCGCAAGAATTCCGGGAGTCGCTGACGTAAAGACGGAGGTGGGGACGAGCAGGTGGGGAGGGGATGAAAATCGCCTTTCTTGAGGGACGCGTGTCCTGAAACGATTCCGTTTTTCTCGCGACCAACGCCGGCCGACACAAACGGCGGCGGATTGAACAATTTCTGCGGTTGACGCACGTGACGGCAAAAACTCGACGCGATTGTTGCCACATGATTGATCGTTTCCGTTACCGAGCGGCAAATTACAGACGCACGGCACAATTATAATTTAATTCATAGTTGCGAAGACAGTCGAACGATTAGCCGTTTTTACGGGCAACCGCTTAATCGTGATAGAAACGCGTTCCCTTTTGGACGCTCTTGCGAGACACGGTCCGCGAGCGCGTCAGAGCCGCGAAACAGTGAACGATTCCATGCAAATGTTCCTTCCGCGGATCCAATTGCTGGACGTTCGTACGATCGGTAACACTGTCCGACAAAATCAAACTTTTTTTTCCTGGGTTCCTATAGCCACTATGAAATTCTTGTAGAGCTTCACTCCCTGAACAAGAATCCGAAAACCGAATGGCTCCATCACCCTTAGTTTTTTAAATAAACGAACTTTTGTGAAAACCCAAAATTTTCGACAAAAATGAAGTATTGCACGGAAAGTACAAACGTTAGAAAGTTCTAATTGGTGTTAAAAGATAGAGGAGAGTTTCCCGAATATAGTGGCATGCAATTTATTAATTGTTTTTGGTCCTAAATAGCAATGAATTGATGTCAAAGTTGAAAAAAGTGTCGACGTGAGCAGTTTCTGCGCAATGTTTTTGTATTTTTACGAAAAGGTCTTTGTTCGGCACGAAAACTCTACCCAGGATTCTGTGGACATTTCTGAAGAAGAAACGGCCCGATAGAAGTGTCGGAACGATGTACATTTTGAGTAGGTCGAGAAAATGTTCGTCGGCAACATGTACACGATGTTTTGCCGCCATGTGCTTCGCTGCTCGCTTCTCTCTGTCCGACAGGGCCGAGGCTATGGGCAATCAACACCGATAGAGGGATCCAATGGGATCTCCTCCATCTTTTAACACCAATTAGAACTTTCTAACGTTTGTACTTTTCATGCAATACCTCATTTTTGTCGAAAATTTTGGGTTTTTACAAAAGTTCGTTTATTTAAAAAACTGAGGGTGATGGAGCAATTCGGTTTTCGGATTCTTGTTCAGGGAGTGAAGCTCCACAAGAATTTCATAGTGGCTTATTTTTAGGAACCCAAAAATCGTGTCGGACAGTGTAATTAGGCGAGGCACGCGTCGTCCCGAGTATTTCAAAAATCCCGGGCATTCGTCGGAACGTTTACGTAACCAGCGTGGAAGCGGCGCGCATCGGTGTGCAAAAACGCCCGATTCGCGGAGAAGACACAGGGGAATAGGATTTTTCAATGTAACAAATATCGTTACTTAATCCTTTGCAATCGTGCGGTGTCTCTGAAGCGGCACTAAAATTGTTGTATCACGTCCCAAGGTAATCTTTATATATCGTCAATGTTTAGATTTAAAAAATTGTTAAAAGTTTAAACTGTTGTATGAGTGACAAGAGTCGATTTCATTCGCATAAAGTACACTTTGTCCTATAAAATGGAAATACCATGAGTTGGAAAGATTATTTTAGATTTACACGATGTCACTGCGTACAAATGATTGCTATCCGTGTCCGAAAAGCAAATCCTTGTCGACGTTTATCCAATCAAAAGATATTCGTGTTTCAAGCGAAAAGTTTGTTCCGGATTTATTACTAGACTGCGAATGTTATGCGTTTATTGTGACAATTAGTAGATGAAATTTAAAACGTCGGAGAAATTTAAAAGATTCGACACTGTTTACGTATTTTCTTCAACTTACTAAAACGATTAAAGAGAGAAAGGATCTCCTGTTTGCCTCTCGCTCGCTGCAATTGATAAAGAAAATATTTACATTGCATAAAGATCCGAAGTCTATTTTGTTACGATCATGTTCGCGATCGATTCAGTCAACAATTATGCTGCAAATATTATTTAAAAAATTTTACCAACAAGAGAGTAGCCTCAATCTGATCGATAACAAAATGTGTCTACTATTAATAAATTATATATGTTTGCAATATGGTCGGAATATTATTATCCTGTCGCGCAGTGTACAAAAATAATAATTGCATAAGTGGGCATAGCCATCGGGAAAGACCAAAAAGTACACCGAACATGCATTTGAACCGTATAAAATCAATAAACAAGTTAGACGTACATGATTTCAGGGATACAATGCTTTTTTACCGCGTTCGGCTTGCGACTGGCCCAGAGTGCGGCGCAGGCGGCGCAGGCGGAAAAGTCTGGCCTGGAATCCGTTTCACAATCGTTCGAGCACACGGCGCCATCGTCCTGCACCGCCATAAGTTAGAAAGGGCCATTGTGTCCACTTTTCCTCCATAAAGCGTGTCGCGGATCTAATCGCCGACTAATCGCCCACGCAAATACCTGCGTGCTCTCGCGCGGATCGTTAGAGTGCGTTTCCAAGGAGCCCGCTACGGGTGTACCGCGTTATTTACCGTCGGATCAAGGCTGCTAGCGGATTCTACGCTGCCATCCCGCGCGTCGAGAATGCCGGAGCACGAACAAAGCGTTTCATCGGTTATTTTCGCTTCTCGATGGTAATATGTTTTCGGTCCCTCTGTTCGAGTCTCCTCTCGCGTCCTAATCCGATCGTTTAGTCAACGTTACGACTGTGTCGACGCTTCTGTTGCCCGATAGGTTGGCTCCGTTAGGATCGTTATTGTTCGGGCTTTATAGTTTGAACGCCACAACGGGGTGCCGCGAAACACCCGCGCCATTCTCTCTCTCTCTCACACACACACAGAGTACCTAATTGTCCGCTTTTCACTCTGTCCTGGGTCCACCGATTATGCCATCCACGGTAGAATCTATTCAATATGTTATTCATTCTTTATATCTTTTCATATTCATTCTTCTCGATGTTCAGAGATTCCTTTGGTTACTTTCGTTCTACGCGATCCCGTTCCGTTCTGTTCTCTGTTTACGAAAATTAAACGTCCAGAAGATTATTCATTTAAGGTTATTCGCCACGCAGCCTCGCGTAACGCAATACGTGCATGCGTGCACTGTGCACGCATGCGATCGTACAAGTATAAGGTATAAAGAACGCGCGGTAATTATCGGAGACAAGACGCTGAAACGTTAAACACGGCATTTCGTGATATCAAATTATAGATTAAGAATGTACTTCGCAAATGACCCGGCATTATCGTCCGGAGCTAAATGTGGTAGCGTTAAGAGCAAAAAAAGCTCCCGTTATCGAGTCTAAATGAGATTATCGAACCGAAAAGGAAAGGAAGAAAAAAAGATGTGTATTTGTTTTCCTGCGAGAGAGCGTTCCCCAAATAAAATGATATTTTTCGAACTGTCGACGTCGTTTTCTTGTTTTCAAACGTTCACAGTTATTTTCACACGTTTCTCAAAAACATTCGACCGCGGACAGATTAAAATAATATATACACAGACGGCACACGCATTCCACTCTGCGCTCAGTTCAATAAAATGTTCAAGAACGATGTTGTACGCCAAAGTTCGTAGGGTCGTTGCAAACGGCGAGAACGAAGTTTACCGTGGTTTCCACAGTCGTTCCAATTTGTAACATTATCATGAGAAATCGTGTCTCCGATTTCCCGCTAGCTATAATGTGTAGAAAAAATAAACTACACGCAGAGCACCGATCAAACTACACGAGCATCGTTAAAACGAGCCCAAGTTCACGACTGTACGATTCTTTTTCATAAAATTATGTCGGTTCCAATATTAACAATTTGTTGAAACATTAATATTTGCTGTACAGAGGTTACTGATAGCTGGTTAAACTCGACTAGAAGAAACTGAACATATTTTTGATACTTTCAAAAAATTCATCCTCGAATAAGTTACAAAAATATACCGTTCGCTATCCACTGTGCGCGTAGCAATCGATATACACGCTTGTAACGAATCTTCGGTATGCATATAAGTCAACCGTGATCTACGAGAGGCAATTTTTACATTTTCGAAATTGACACGGATAAAAAAGTTGAAAAGCGAGAGTTATTCATTTTTCTTTTGTCATTCCAAGTAATAGCAAAATCAAAGGAAAGCATTTCAGTAATTGTTTAGTAGACTAATCCCGCTATCCTCGAAAAAGAAACTCAAATCATTCGGTTCAATTTAAAAAAAAAAGGTAAAAAGAAGTAAAAGAAAAAATGTTCCTGTACGTTCTTCGTTTCGTCATCTCGAAGAAGTCCGCCTCCGAGGAAGCAAAAATCCAACGCGATGTTTACAGTCTAGTAATTGAAATAGCATTTTACCCGTGGTTGAAAGGTGGTCGGTATCATCGTTAAAAACGCCTGGATACGTACGCATGCGCGTGATCGTTAGTAGGTCGCGACGACGCGACGCGACGCGACACGACGCAACGAACGTCTTGAACGGGTTCGTCCCGCGCGGCTTCCACGGCCAGGCCAGTCATCATACAAAGGTGAGTCGGGATACGAGACACGCCTAAATCGGCAGAATCGGCACGATCGGCATAATCGTCGAAAGGACCACACGTCCCCCGTCGAGTTTCGTAGTCCGGTTGCCCACGTTCGCGAAACAATTCACGGAAAACTCTGTTGGCCGGTGGTATGTGACTTAACGGGACCTTGGAAAACACAGCGGCGAATGCGCGAAGCGAACTGGAGGGTTCTGCGCGTCTACGGCGTTGTCGGACGGGAAGTTCGTGGACAGGGGCGGAGAAATGGGATGCCAAGGAGCAGGAAGAGGAAGATATTAAAGATAATCGTTGGTGCGTACACCGGCAGGAATAGTGTATCTGGCCGAGTAGAAGGCGGGAGAGGGCTGTCAGTCGGAAGTTCTCCGAGGAAGGCGCTCCGTGCTCCGTGCGCGCGATAGTAGGTCGAGTTCGCGTTCGGCCGCGCTCGCCGGAGCTCGGGCAGGCTCGGCGGACTCGAATTCGAAGTTGGTTCGGGCGCGCTAAGCGCTCGGTCAGTCCAGTCGGTCCAGTCAGTCGCACGCGGCACACGAAAGCCACGAAAAGTCGTGGGAGGTGTACGAAAGGCACGCGATAGAACACAGAAAGAGATAACGATAGAGATAGAGATAGAGAGATAGAGAGAGAGAGAGAGAGAGAGAGAGCGAGATAGAAAGAGAGACCAGCAGGGACGGATGAGAGATTCGGTCCAGCCGCTGGGAAGAAAGAGACGACAGGTGAGACGAGCCGCGAGAGGAAACAAGTTGAACGGAACCGGACCGAGACGAGAACGGGATCGTGGTCCGCGCGTTTCCGGCGCGTTGGAGACTGGACGATCGAGAGCTCCGATCGAGAGCGCGATCGGCATCGGAATCGGAATCGGAATCGTAAACGGCATCGACTCAGAACTGTCACCAGTGTGAAATAGTACGGGAGATCACCGGGAAGAGGCGAGATGGTGTACGGAGGAGGCTTCGATATGGTGGAAACGGTGAGTCGGTTGTTCTTGTTTGCCGCGGGGAATAAAATGTGGTTAAACGTGTCACCGAGCTCGCCGAGCGCACGGTGTGCACGGAGTGCGCGAGGTGTGTGTCGCGTGTGTACGTTGCATTCTTTCCGCGTTGCCGAGCCGACGACGGTTACGATGTGTGCTAACTGTTTTATTGCATTCTCAGCGTTTTTTTTGTTTGCCATGCCTATCGGGCCGCGTCGCGCCTATTTAATAAATTAATCGTTCCGAATGGTACCGGAGATAAACTCGGCGGTACGGCAATCACGAGAATTACGAGATACCTTATCCGAGAGATATTCGTTCTTACTAGAACCGATTAATCGATTGCAAAAGAACGCAGATACGTGCTCGTCTGTAAAAAAGTAAGGTTATGCCGGCTGTTTACCGAATTCTTCTCTTCGCGAGCTTCGGAAATGTCCTCCCGGTAGGATCGGTTCCGATCAATTTGGCGCGAAAAAGTGTCGGCGTTCGAACGTAACGCGCAGTGCGGCTCCAATTAAATTGCGCGGCAACTTTGAATCGGCGTCGCGCCCGTCGAGTCCCGCACAGAGATCCGAACGAAGTACGCGCGCGAGCAACGAGAGAATATCGTTGGTACAGAAGCACAGATATCGCGCTCGTATATCGCGATTAATGATAATTGCTCGCGTATTCGTTAACGGACACCGTGGTAGCAGATGCGTTCCATCGCGTCAAACTTTCTTCGTTTCTTGGAAAATATTTCGAAATCGTTTAAAGAGAATCGCGGGCCTTGCTCGCTTTACGCCGGCTTTCGTAACCGTGTTTCATCGATTATCTAATTGGACCGTGATGCAATTCGTGAACGAGCTCCGTCCCGAACGCGCTAGTGTACGAGCAACGTACGAAAGAACTCGCGAGATTACGATTCACTCCGAGAGCAACGTAGTATCACTCGGCGAACCCGCTCCGTTCGGCCGAGGATCATTCGTCTCGCCGGAGCGCGTCGTCCCAATTTGCCGAAGTAGATACGGCCCTGTCGTAGAAAGACGCGAACAGTCGGATGCTCTCGCGAAGGAAGGCAAACTTTCGAATCTACTACCACTGAACCCCGAGTGGTCGGTGACGAGAAATTCGCTCGGCCGGTACGCGCGATGGAAAATTTCCCGGTAAAATCGACTTTTTTCTCGCGTTCCGCGAACGAACCGCTCGCGCATCGCCGATCGAAAAGTCCGAATTCGATCGAGAAGTCTCTCCACTGGTCCAATAACATTGGTACAATTTTCTAGCGAAGATAGAATCGTTCGTCGAACATCGCGAAACATCTCCGCCGCGTCACAGTGTTCCGATTTCCGATGGCCTCGCGGATTACTTTTGGCTTTATCTCTCACGAGTGAGAGAGAAAAGAAAAAAGAAAGAAAGAGACGGTAACGCGCGCGGCGCGAGAAACGTTACGGGGGAACGATTAATTGATTCGTACGCTTTTATCGCGTTCCCTCGACGACGAACTCTGCTCGACGCAGACGCCAAAGTTATTTGCCAAAGTTGCTCGCCGACGAGAAACTTTAAATCGTCGACGAGCTTCGCTTTCGCGACCGATCTACCTTGTCCGGAATCGAACAATGGACGATCACACGGTGAAAACTTTTGCATCCGATCGCAGTAAAGTCCGTTTCCGCGAACGCGACGCGTTCTACCTGGTCGCAGAACTTTATTGGCCCGGTCGCCGATAAAAAGGCGACCGACGCGTACCGGTTTTGTTCCAGTAACGTTTCTGTTCGCGAACAATTAGATCGTATGGAAATCGGTCTGTGCCAGGCTCGTAAACATTTTTTTTTTCTTTCGTCGCTGTCTAGCGCTTAATGCGTATGTCCTGTAATAATGCTTGTGTATTCATGAAAGAGCTCTATATGGTCCGGCGACATGAATTTTACATTACCATATTCGCATATTAGATGTATCTAAAATTTCGCCGCGACCTTCGGTTCTCGCGCACCGCTTCGCTTCAACGCTAGAACCGCCGTGCATAAAAACGACCAGTTTCTATTTCCTTTTTACAACGACGAGGTTGCGATTGTCCAGACATTACACATGACTTCTATTCATTAATTATTATTATTACCGTCAATTTATTCATGTATACGGATAGAAAAATCCTCCGTTATAGAAGAAGTGATAACTAATAGAGAGAGAGAGAGAGAGAGAGAGAGAGAGAGAGAGAGAATTTATGCATGCAACAATCGCATGAGTACAAACAAAGAGAAAAAAGGGGAAAAACAAAATCGAAATATGTTGAAATATACGTACATTCATGTATACATACATACATACATACATACATACATAAATGTATGTGTGTGTGTGCCCTCATATATACTTAACACATTAAAGGCGGGGGATCTTGACGAAAGTATGCTAGGTAACGCGGCGACCGCCCCGCCTCGTTTTTTGTCCTAGAGCGGGCGATATTTTGTGTAATCATAAAAAATTTAGACTTGAAAAAGTTTATTTAAACTCTTAAAACTAAAAGAAATATTAAAAAAGAACTAAACACTAATTACAAAAAATGTTTTAAAGTACATATTTATGAGAAGTCGAGATAAATCGTAGTACTACGACTCCCGCCTTTAATGTGTTAATATGTATATGTAATAGGTATTTAAGAGTAAATCCGAATAAATCGATGGATCCAGCAATCGGTCGTACAAACATTTTCGCGATCCGATAGTTGGACCATTGAAAGCACGGCCAACCAGCCTCCTCGGATCGGAGAATAGCTCCGCGCTCTTCGAACGCGTTATCGCGTAGTCTCATAGTCGATCGCCGTATTCCGATCTATGATCGCGCTCGATCGATCATTAGCAAACTAACCAGCGGAAATCCCGCGAATAACAAAGCAACCCGTCCCTCGGTGAAATCATGCTCTTAAAAGTTAATTACCTGACGCACGCATCCGACAGCTATCGGAAGAATCATCGGAATCGCCGATCGCGGAGAACTCTAAATTAATATGTAAATCCTAGTCGGAGATTCCAATTACGCGAGTCCGAGCTTCATGAAATCATTTTCTTGCTGTTCGGCTCGCCTGGACATCGATTGTCTCTTTCGTGGCTCCGCCGAGATCAAGTTAGTTAATAAAAGAATGCCGTGAACGGTTTCACGTATCGTTGGATTTCACTCGGTCACGGGTCGCCCGTTTCTGCCACAATGTCGATTCATTGCATCAGCTCGAACAACTAATCGTTCCCCGTGAGGTAAAAGCATCGCGATACGCTTCGGGGTGTTCCAAATTACACATTCGTCTTCGATGTTAGAAATTAGCAAACGCGACTCTCGAAAACCGAAAATTTCACGTCACATTTTCGACTCTCGAAATTCTCGCTGAACTGACACGAGACACATTCAGACTATTTATTTATTAATGCCTCAAACGAGATGGTTTATTTAGCAGGTACAGAGCTGTTACGCGTACACACGGCGGGGAACATACTTGAGTGGACACCCTTTAAAACGCGATAACTTTTTTAAAACTCGACTAAATGACTTGAGTCTTTTTCAGACGACAGAGGGACTAGTCTACTACTAGACAAGCACTAAAATGCTTTTCTCTAATTTTGCTATTACATAAAATGACAAAATGAATAAAAACACTCACGTTCTTAAACAGTTTTTATCTAAACTTGTAACGAACATTTTCAAACGGTTAAGTTCAAAATATTAAGAAAAAGGTAATGAGACAATTATAAATCGAATTACATAATGTATCATTAAAAAGGCGTGACTTTGAACGATTCTGTCACTAAAATTCTCCCCCTTCTTGATAAAACCTCTTTTGATCACTTTATCTTCTTCTGTATCTTTTCTTTTACTGCATCATCTCGTTTCTTTTCTCTTTATTTCTTTTCAGTTGCTGCTTGCGCGACATAATGACAAACTATTTTAACGCAGGGACTAGCTCCCGTGGATCAAATAAATATTATTATTATCAAATTTTCGATCCGGCCCACGCGTATCGTTGTTTATCGGTTCATCCGTACCTATTACTCGCTATTTTAGTCGATACGTTGTTTCGCTTTGTTGGTCCATGTTGCCCGGAATATGCTGTACCTCCTGTATCGACTCGAAGTAAGCCCAACGATTGGGTAAAGACTTCTTCTATCGTCGTCCGCGAAACGAATAGAGCTACCATCGGGGACAGGAATTAGCGGTTAGCGATATTGCTGGGTGTTCGATGAGGGAAGATTCGCCGAGGGACAGGAGCTACTCGTACGTTCGCGCATCGTAAATCCGATCGTCGGGGACGCTGCAACGCGGACAGACATACGCTCAGGCAGGCATACTCGCGCGACCGACCGCGTAAACAGGGTGTAATTAAAAAATCTCGCTGGCCGGTCTTTGTGTCGGGTGTTGCGTATAGTTGATGTCCTTGCCGAGGCAATTCGAAATCCTGTCCGGTCTCGCATTAGCGAGGGCGTGGTTGGTCGTTCGTTCCTGGTCCGAGGATAGCAGCCTCTCGTAGTAATTGCGCCAGGCTCGTTTCCACGGCGAGGCACGGCACGACACACGACACAACACCGCTTTTGCGGATTGTTCGACTTCCCTTTCTTTCTTTCTTTAGTCTTTTTCCGTCATTGCAGTTTCCCTCGTTCCACGTTCCTTCTTCCTTGTTCTTTGTTCCTCGTTCCCGGACTATCGCCGTGGTTCTCGGCTCCTTTAACACGTCGAGCGCCGCGCCGGTCAAATATGGGTGACACTAATTTTCGACCAATTTTGAAAATTTATTTTCATCGTATCCGAACGAACTGAATTTGACCGGGATGTTTCGTATGCGAAAGAGTTCTAATGTCATCCGCTATGATAAATCTTAGCTTTCTAGTTTCGGTTTAATGAATTAAATTGCTTCGACTATGTGGGAATTTTAGTGATCGATTCTCGGCGCTGGACGTGTTAACTCTTCGAGGCATACGGTTTGAAAGAAACTAAAAATCCAAGTTTGCGCAGAATGTGCCGCCGCAAAAGAG